GATTTCGGAGTTGTAACAGTGACTCTACCAAGCAAGATGATTTAGTGAGGTCAGTAAGTATTGGTGCGTTGCTTTGATTTTTAAAATAACATAGTATTCTTTTTTTCGTTACGGTATCTTTTTTAGGGTAAAAATAGGGATAGGTTTTGAAAATTGTCATTGGCCAATTAACACGTGGAGACGACACATCTGTTGAAACTTGTCGTGCAGGGGAAGGTGGAAGGTACAAGAGCGCACGCTGGTCGCCCATGCGCTTAGGTCAAAACCGCACTCAATGATCCACTCCACGAGTGTACAAGAAAGGCCTTAATGCAGGAGGAATGGCGACGGATTGTGAAGCTTGCCACCAAACCAGGACGACCACGACCACTCTGGCAAGAGAAGATGAAGCGACGAAGGAAAAGTTTTGAAAATTGCTATTCTTTGCAAATAAAATAAAAATAATCCTTATCTATATTTAATGAAAGGATAAAAGTAATAAGTACTAAATGATTCTCTAATTCTCACCTATTCTCTCAAATGAGAATAAAAAATTAAGTAAAACGCTTACTATAAACTAGCAACCTCAAGAATCAGCACTCAATACATAGACCATACTTCATCACAATTTACTCTTGAATCTAAACTCATACTTAAACTCCGTTTAAAATAAGCTTTTAAATATTATCGATCCAATCTACAATATACCCACAAAAGTACTTCAGCCAAAGAACAATGACCACATTAACATAGTAATTTGTTATGCTTACCTCAGAGAGGCGGTGTTTCTGTACTGATACGTAATGCAATTAGTTTGGAGGCATTGCACCGGTTACGGCTTTCTTCTTAATGTCAAGTGTGAGATATGATCTGAACTTCTAGAAAGTTCCAGTTGGTAGATATAATGTAAGTATGTATGCTGGCTTTGATGGTGTTTTTGGAATTAACGCAAAGTAAGCATAATAAGCCGTTAAAGCGTACCTATACACTTTCATTAACGAGTTAATATTAATTTAAATCAGTTGTCTAAGGGCTAGCTCTTCACAATTAGGGTAACTATATTAACCTGTGCTCATATTGCTCACTGTGTCAACAAAGTCCTCATATTGTGTGAAGATTGTGTTTATTGAATTGAGTCTTACTTAAGTCAGACTAAAAGTTATTTTTGAGCTTCTTAAGACATTTCAAAACCTCACAAAGTAATCACATTCATATTATTCATTTTCACTTAAAATGTGACAATAATCCTTTTATTTTAAGGATAAAATAAATGCAATGATGAGTCTAATTTCAGCTTTTAATAAATAAATAAATAAATATTTTTGGACATTTTACACTGCGCTTCTAGTCCCAAACTAAGCAAAGCTTGTACTATGGGTACTAGACAACGGATATAAACATACTTAAATACTTTTTTTTTGTAAATACATACATATTATACATAGAAGACACCCAGTCCAATACAAACAAATATGTTCATGCACACAAATGTTTGTACTGTGCGGGAATCGAACCCGCAACCTCCGGAATAGTAGAAATAGTTCAATAGGTATGGTGGATTCTTTATACTATCAGTTTGCAACTAATGCACCGCAAAGTGGTACAGAAAGCTTTCATTAGATGACGCTGTTTCATTTCCCCGCACTTCATAAATTATTTGGATTAGTTATTAGATCAGCAGATTAAAAATTAAGGCTAATTTTGTTCCTTCATAGTTAAGAACCTTAAGATATTTAAAAAAGACCGACAGTTTAGACAGATACTACCACAACTGCTCAAAACCATAATAATCTGATATGAGAACGATTTTTTAATAGAAAATAAGTATTGTCTTTAATTAAATGATACATTAAATGACTACCTTAAACTTCAATGCGACTGAATCAATATTTTTTTAGTAGGTATTTATGATAAAAAATGTAGTTTTAAAACGCCTACAATAACGTAACAGTTATTTCGCAAGAAAGATACCTTACTAGCAGAAACTCGTAAGAGAAAGTAGAGATAGTTTTCACTGAGATGCGCTATTGGGACTTGTTGCTCTTACAATAGTAAAAGGATACTATGAAATGGATGGGAATTATAGCGATAAAATATATTTATTTCAGGTTAAGTTACAGTTAATAGAATACAACGTATCTACAGAAAATACAGCTACAAATCAGTTTAACATTTATGAACGTGCACAGTGCACACCACTAGGCCAAATTTTAGGGAATAAATGACATAAGTGTTGAACTTAATTGACCAGTGTTATTTTGCCGACCTTCTTTACCCAACTGCCAAGGAAGGGTAGGTACTATATAATAAAGATTTAAAGGCAAAGCAAGGCTTTAGTTATTTTATAGAAAACCTATATTTAATCTATGTAATAATGAAAACATTTCCAATTATATGCTACGATTTAAGTACGTTTCTAATAAAAATCTCTATATAAAGCACAGTTTAATTATAAATCAGCATAATCATAAAGTCAGACTTATTTGCTTTAACGTGAAAACTTAGATGGAAAAGTGTCCATTTATTTGAATCATATTGTGAGGTTAATAATGGAAAGTATTTTTAAGGTTGTGAAAATACTTGGGGGAGGCCTTTGTCCAGCAGTGGACGTCATTTGACTGAAACTAACGAACGAATAAACTTTTAGGATTCTGTAGAAAGGGTATAACATGTATGAATATGCCTCCGCTGTCTGTCTGTCAAGGTGATGAACCCATTAACCGCAATAGGTACACAGTTGAAATTTTCATAGAATCTATTGTCGCTATAATAAAAACAAATTAAAATAATTTAAATCATTAAAGGAAGGGGGAGCTTTTGTGACAAAAGATAGAGGTTGACATTTCAATACCAAACATAATTGGTTCAGTGGTTTATATCTAAGTATAGTATAACAAATGTAACGTTTGCTTATGGACCTCATCATAATTTCAAAACGTAAGCTCCTTCAAAGCTTTTGGCCCGGTTTTCGCCAAGGCGGAGCGATGCAGAGCTGAGAGAATTTGTGCGGCGAAGCTGGCAGGCTATTTTCACCAAAGCGATGCGAAGAACAGCGGAGCGGAGCAGAGACAAAATCTATGGAAAAACAAATGCCCCGACACTTTTCCTCTCGAAGTGAAGCAGAGTGGCAGGAAAGTTCTTGAGTGGCGACCACGAGCCGGAAGACGTAGCGTGGGCCTCCCACTAGGTGGACCGACGATCTGGTGATGAAGGTTGCAGGAGGTGCCTGGATGCGAGCGGCGCAGGATCGGTCTTCGTGAAAATCCTTGGGGGAGGCCTTTGTCAGCAGTGGACGTCTTTCGGCTGAAACGAACGAAGCGGAGGAAGCGGAGTGGAGATGTACAAATAATGGAATCTGATTGGTTATTTAAAAGGCTTCTCTGCTCCACTCCAACTTGGTGGAAACCAAAGTTGGAGTCAAAAACTTAAAAGATTTGAAGACGCTCTTTTGTCAGCTATTTTCTGAATAACAATTTAAAAGCATATCAAATCTCCGTTTGTTAGACTTCATATTATTTCCAACTTTGCTACGACCAAGGATGTAGGTCGACGATAACCTGTCCAATTAAGTCCGGCTTTAGTCAAAACGTGTATTTATTTCCGTTGACTTTCAATCGGAATTCAATAGAATAACGTTCCACTTTAATTAATGCTTTGAGAAGGCTTATTGGTTTAAAAGCTTAGATGACATAGAGCTATGAAAAACGGTGTTTGGTTTAAATACGAATGTTATTTGTTGATATAGTAGTAAACCAAAGTTACTCGGGCATAACAATTATTTCGTTAAAACGGTACTATCCGCCTCTCATTCCCATCGCTCTGCCACTCCTGTGTAGCCGGGATTTATAGCTTGACCGCCAATAAAAACTTATTTCGTGAGAAGCAGTAGATACTCAGAGAATTTCAAGTCACTTTTTTATCAATGGAACATTGTTTAACCAATAAGCTCTGTCTAATTGTCTATACACTATATGTCTAGCTCATACCACCTACTCTTAGGCTGGGTTGCACCATCTTACTTTAACTTTGACAAACGTCAAAAATCTGTCAAACTCCATACAAAAAACACCGGTTATCGTCATAGTAACGGTCAAAGTTAGGTGGTGCAACTAAGCTTTAGAGTGCGAAGTTTGTATTTCAATTTTGTGCTAAATGACCAATTAAATTATCTACAAAAATCATAAAAGTTTTTGAGGACATAAGTAAAAGTTTATTTTTTAAGTTATTTTGATTAAGATGTCATTATTATATTCTCAGGATTGTGCAGTCTTGAATTCAATTCTCAGACAAATATCTAGGTTGTGGTACAATGGTTCGAATAAAAATAGATTTGACTTTCTCGACTATAACACATACATCCTTCAAGAATGTCTAGATCGTTATGTTAGTTGATTTGAAAGCTTTGTCAAGCTTAAAGCACAGTTATAATGTTTGGTTGATAAATAAATATTATCACATAATTATTTGGTACTTATTTCATAAATTTATTTTATATCCAATATCAACTTTCACATTTCCGTTGAAGGAAAATTATAATATTGGCATTATTTATGTATTCATTGTGGAAAATGTGTAAGTATATGAAATATTTTATTATTTTTATGATATTATAATTCAGGTTAGAAATGAAAGATATAAATAAACAAAATAACGCTTTTGGTTTATTTCATGGCTTACAATTGTACGAATAAATAACAACATTCACACACTCACAGGCACACAAAAAATATAACAAACATAGTCGTGATACACGATACATATAAAGTGCTTAAAGAAGAATACAACATACAATCAGAGATCATAAATAGATACATAAGTATCAACAAATAATAATTATTAGACCATACAATACAAAAACAATTACATACATACATATTTTAGAGATAAAAATACATACAATCCTATAATATTTATAAAACAGAAGGTATTTGGTATAATAACGCATTACGTCGCAATAAATATACAACAAAAAATAAAAAACACATAATAATAATAATAAAGACATAAATAATAAAAAAAAAACATAATTAAAACATATAATATTTACACAAATATACACTAAACAATAAAATAAAAAGATTCCTTTTCAGTCAAATTAACAAGTAACATAAAATTTACACCCAAAATTTCACATGTAAAATGACAGAAAAGAAAATAAATAAAACAACTAAACAAAACATTTAAAATCACACAAACACACACGCGAATAAATAACTCAATAAATTAACTGGCCTCATGAGTAACTTATATAATGAACAATACATAAAATCGAAACCGTTAGTAAGTTTTACAAGATTGTGAACAGTCTAGGTAGCTCTGAATTTGGCATGCTGAAGTTGATCTAAACAGAAATAGTATTTACCTAAGTTATAATAAAATCTCTCGGGTCCTATTTTGAACGAAACTATACAGCATTTTTGCTGCAATAAAATAATTTAGAAGTAATAACCCAACAATGTTTTCCCAACTTCAGGTGCCAAATCGCATGTCTCTTACTTCAATCTTACTTCCTGTAAGCCGAGTAGGCCAAGTTTCCAGCGTCTTTCTTCGACCTAGACCAGCCTCCTTCCCATCCACCGTGTCCTCCGTGACCGTGATCATCATGAGGAGGTGCCCAAACCTCTTCTTCGTGATGCTCGTTCTTCTTAGCTAGAAGAGCTTTGAGGATAGAGATGGCCTTGACAATGAAGGCAATCTTGGCGAGCAGCGCCAACTTGAAGATCGAAGCTGCAATGACAACTAAAGACAGCACCACCAACGCAATGGCTTTGGCTTTCGCGATCAGGACTAAAGGAATCAGCATCTTCAGCTTCTTTTTGGTCTCCTTCTTCTTCTTGCCACGGCTCTCCTCGACTGTGAACAATACCATTAATTAGACCATTTGGAAGCGCAGCTTTAAGGCGATTTGCTTTTATTGGAATTGCAAAGTTACGTTCGTTTCCAATGCAGTTTCACTCTTACCTAAGACGGGACATTTGAAAACACGTGTTGCATTTCAATAGCTAATTACATTTAGTAAATCAAATTGTGCTCTTCTAGAATTGTTAATTTTCTGTGTCTCAAGTTTTTTTTCTTCTGAATGCGGTTTTTTGTATAAAGTATAAAGAATTTTGAGTGCTGTTAAGATCATTTTCAATATTCGCAATATTATTCGTTTTATATTTACCTTCGTTGAGAGCTCTGGAGTCGTTCTCGTCATCTTCAGATCCTGGGAAGCTCAATTCCAATTCAGACCTCTGAAGAAGGTCAGACGCTGTTGACCACAGTCTTTCAGTGACCTGACAAAAAAAAACATGGCGTTAGGGAGTGATTGGAAAAACCGTGGATTCAGATTAGGTTTCATATTAAAGAAACAGGATTTTATTACTGCGACGTACCTATTTGTAATAGTGCATCATCATGACGAAGAAACATTTGTTGGTTCATTAGTGTCGTTTTGGTAAATAACATTTTTGATTGTATACTAAAATATGAATAGTTTGACTTTAGTGATCGTTATACAACTTCCATTTGTTATATCGGTACTTAAAACATTTAAATTGAATAAATCATAATTTAAACAATATTATTGCAATCAAGACTACCTTTTGTAGTTCTTTGACTTCTTTTGAAAACAATATTCATGTTGGAATAAAAAATATTTTACAGTTTAACGCACACCATATCTAATTACAATAGGCGAGCTTAATATAATTAAAGGCAATTTCTTCCACTCAATCTTCACACCAATGGGGATGTTGCCTGGGTCAAAAAGCAAGAGTTTTAATTAGTCCGTCAGTTAACTTATCAAAAAATACTCTACACGTATTTTTCACTTTTTCAAACTAATGAAAATTTAAAGAGATAAAGCGCCCCAAAGTTCATAAGAAGAGGCCCGTGACGTCGTGCGCAACTTCAACGCACCATAACTATGTAATTATTTGTTAGATTGACAAATAAAAATATATGTGTCCAATATTCTTTGATATTAAACATTACGGACTAAAAAAATTTTTTTAGGCAACTAGCCTAATGCTTAATGCCCGTTTTCACCATAAATCCTAAATTTTTAAGTGACACCTATGGTAACAGATAACAGGCATTTTGTTTTCATAGGGGTCACTTAAATTTAGAGATTGATGGTGAAAACGGGCATAACTAACCTACTAACCACCTATTGATTCATAAAAGTTATAAAAAAGTTATTTTTAAAGATAGAGTAGCTTCGTTAACTTCGTTAGCTTGTATTACCATAAACTAATAATAATTGATAGTTGTAACTATCTTACCTCCTTGTTCCTCTCTTCAGGTTCAGAGGGTAGTGTGTCCAAGGACCTGGCCTCCTTAGGGCTGCTGTTGAGGATGGTGACTCCATCGATGATGTTCAATTTCCTCACAGCCCTCAATTTCTCAGTTGCTCTAAGAGCGTGTTCCTGGACAAATAAATTAATCAATTGTAGATATAATCGGTAGTCAAACAATTTCAATCTTAATTTGTAATACTGGTACTATTTTAGTTATTTAATCTCTAAGACTGCAACTGGTGCTATTTTTAATTATAATTTGTTAGCTTAGTTGTATAGTTGATGAATGAAAATAAAACTGGAGCTATTTTAGTAGTTTTCTGTTAACTAAACCGCGTAGATTAGATTTTTTTTGCAAAAATCAATAATCAAACAACGCCAAAAATCAGCAAAGAATCTATAATCTACTTTTGTATCCTATCTATCATAATTAAGTCACTTTGATATAAAAAACGTTTGGGTCAGTTTTATATTGCTACAAAAAAGCAGTCCAAAAATGTAGAGCAATAAAAAACGGTTCAAACTGCCTCTAAACAACAACTATGTAGCATGACAGCATACGATTAGAGATACAGTTATTAAAAATATGATAATGGAATAACTAAGCAGTATATTTGTTTCGGATCTGAGTTTTTTTGTTGTCCGTCGGGTTCAACGACTCTGAATTTTAATTGGTTAAAAATAGCACAATAATTTAATAGCCGCATAATTCGCAAGCAAAAACATTTTATTTTATTTATCACTGTTATTTGGTTTTGTCACTCCATTTCACTGTTGTCACTGTCACTTGTCACAGGACCTACCTTCAGACATAGGGTCAATTCACTGTTGGCGCAATCCACAAAATTGGTGGCCATAAGACGAACCACCGATTCATCTTGAGCCACCGGGCCGCATGAGGCGACTGCCACTAGACACAACAATCCAAAGATCTTCATCTCGTCAACAACACTATAACACCGAGACCAAAAGAACTGTGATGCCAGACTTGATTGGTAACAGTTTTTTATCTAAATACCCCCACTAACTCTTGCCGAATTAGCATTTTAAAGCAATATATGGCTTGTAGAAACTTGATGACACTATGCCATAGTGACCATCGGTATTAAATTCATTTTCATCAATCACACTGATTTGATTTTCTTTTGACGGGCTTATGCTGGAGGCAGTCAAGCATTTTTTCTATTACAATAGTGCCTTTAAAAGTATACAATGTAGGATTGTCATATTAGTTTTACAGACATAATGAATTATACATTTGGAGATAGGCGTCAATAAATTGTCATAATATGAATACTTGTTTTGAAAATCATTTGAATAGCAAAGCCCATTGTTTCTTCTGAACTTTTGAAGCCTACGGAACAAAAGAGCTCGTTAAATAAATTGACAACGCAGTCGTTATGTTAATGTTTGGTAGCAACTAGTAGCTCAACTTGAAGAGGATTTAAAATTTTATTCTTTGATAAAAAAAAAGTTGGCTAGTTGATAGTCTCATTTACAGGCTATTACAAATGTCAATTGTTTTTGTATGATGAAAGAATTAACTAGGTATGTCATACTCTAAGTAGTAATGCTATTTACCGAAATTGAATTAGTTCTTTTAAAAGATAGGGCATGGTTATGTAGTATAATAATATCTGCTTTTTCTTTTATTCATAGTTCACGCCCTCTGTTGGTGGGATGTCACTTCCTTGTATAAACCTGATTTTATGAAACCGGTTTATGAAGAATGGCGCGTTCCTATTATGGTATGAAGACGTGGTTTTCTGTAAGTCGTGGTTTGAAAATATTTTTGATTATTGTTGCATAAACAGCGATTATTTCGATTGAAAATTGACATTATTACTTTAATATTTATATGATATTATTTAGGTAGCTTTGTGTGCTATCGTCTTTGCATTAACGTTATAAGCAGAGTTATGCATAATTTTCAATGAAATTATTGATAATTTAACTATGATCAAAGTCACTATTAAAAATTGCTTTGTTATTAAAAGGATTAAGAAAAATATAAATAAATTGACTTAATTCCTCATAGATGACTAGACAATCTATGTGCAACATCACCTTTAATGGACTAAAATTCATGGGGCTTATTAATAGAAATAAATTAACAAAAATTCGAACAAATTACTTTATTTTATAAATACTGAGGTACTCGTAGATGGCAGCTTCGAACAGGCAAATAAATACACACACACAATAAATAAATTCACAGGCACACACAAGAAATTCTATCAGAACTGACCACCGTAGGCTAGAGATTGAGCATCGGTAGCCTGTCGACTCCACCCTTGACTGGCGGGTTCGTAGTTATATCCTGGGTGCTCATCATGATGATGAGGGGCACCATAGCTGATTGAGGGCTCTGAAGCTCCTCCTTTCTTAGCTAAGAGTTTCCTGATCAGGTTCACAGCGTTCATGGCGAAAGCGATCTTGCCAAGGAACACGGCCTTGACGGCGACGAAGGCGATGATTCCAAGGAAGAGAGGGATGAGGGCGGCCATCTTGAGCTTCAAGAGGAGAAGGAGGGGCAGGAGCTTCTTGATCTTCTTCTTCTTCTTGCCGCGAGCTGTGGAAGAAATGAATTTTAAATGTTTGGTTTTATGTCATCACTAAATTCAAGAGGTTATATTAATAAAGACACAAATGAAATTATAAAATAGCGTTATCTTTTTAAAACCCTATAACTGGTACAGAGGAAAATATTTTTCATTGGTTTTGAACTTTATTGTTATCTTACTAGAGTTCAAAATATGGTGGCATCAATTCTGCTACCAAAAAATAAAGGTTGTAACGTAACCAAGTGTAACGTTTCTTATATTGCATCATATTTTACTAGATCCTTAAAATAATAAAGTCGAATCTCAAAAATATTATCACGATTATTTTATCGTAACAAAAAATCTGCATTTTATTCGTACGCAAAACTCTTACGAACTCTATAATTTAAAGAAAGCTCACGATTCTGCGCAAATATGACTACTCCACCTTCTTCAAGATCTTGTGTGAGATAACCATCTTAATTGCAGTTTAGTTGCTAATGAACAAATTGAGATAAACGTTAACAGTTTAATAAGTATGCTAAGTAAAGATTTATTGTCTTCAACGTACTTTGAGTTATGATTAATGGTACGCGAAAACAAATAGATTTTAGAGACAAAGTAAGAAGATCTTTTGTACCTTTTACTACCTATTGTGACATCCGAATACTTCAATTGCCTATTGTGCTAAGTCAATGTACTATTTTCTCTAAAGAAAATGTTTCTTTAGTTTTATGTTTTGGACATAAAATATTGTGAGGAGAAAATATCTCCAGATTTAAAATGCAAAAGGGCACATTTTTGTATCAAAATTTTGACTGAAATTTTGACTATTGACTAATTTTATAAACATTTGACCGGTTAATTGACTCCAAACGTTTTCGTTTTAGAATATAGTAATTTGTGTATCAATTTTTATTACCATTAGTAAATTTCTAGGACTTGTCCCAAAATTCTGACGTATACCTAGCAAGTTTATGACCTATAACTCTAGCATGCAGTTGAAATTACCTTCTTCATCCAAATCCCGGGATTCATTCTCGGACTTGTCGCTCAGGCTCAGCTGAAGAACATGGTTGTCCAAGAAGTCTCCGATGTTGTCAGCGATTCTCTCTTCGATCTGGTACTCCCTGGTCTTCGGGTCTTCAGCTAAGGGCTCGTAGCTGCGAGCTGACCGAGCTGATCCGGTGTTGATCAGGGACATGCCGTCGAAGATGCTGACATCTTTGGTGATGGCCAAGCGTTCGGTCAGTTTGAGGGCCTTTTCCTGCAATTTTGGTTGGAATTAGTTGTTGGGTTTGATTTATTTATATGAAGGCAGGAGTTTTTTTAATCCTTATGAATCATAAGACCTTGAGCATTTTCTAGATGGATTAATATGGTAAAATTGGGCACTTTTGTCTAATTTTGGGACTTGCTAAAGTTATTCGAAATTACATAATAATGGGTTTAAATGAAAATTATGAATATTCACTGGTAATTAGTGTGAAAATTCCATTTCCTCGAAAGGAAGCTTAAAAGGTTGATAAATTAATCACGAGGTCTTTTATAATTCAGGACTAGGCAAAATTATTTTGAATTCTGCCCAATTTTTTGTATTAATGTATGTGTTGAAAACACTTTTATAACTTTAAATTGATACTTGAAAGGGCTGAAAACTTATTTATGCATTGGTAGACAATTCGTAACAAAAATTGTCAAATTATTTCACAGAGATGAATATTCACAAATTCACTCAGTCATTGCAAATCACTCCCTATTTTTTCGCGTTCCCGTAACAAATCATCATTTTTCTACACTTCAAAAAACACCGTTCCATGACAATACTGTCAATTCTTTATATTTTTCACAACACTTCACAATAATCACTGTAAATCCATTGTATTCACCTTGAGACATAGCGACGTGTCACTCTCTATGCATTCCGATACCGCACCAACGAAATTTTCAGCGACGCCGTTTTCCTGCACGGGCCCACAACGCACTGCAGCCAGAAGGGCCAAAAACACAATTGACGTGTATATACTCATTGTGCTTTACTCCAACCAACGCTTGGCAGGTTATGATGTTTTCCCAAAAAAGTGATGGATTTTATCCTTCAAGCCCCCACCATAACTTTGACGTAACGTATGTCGTCGTTTAACGTCGCACACTAACTGATATGCCATAAGCAAAATGTAAGGATAAGTAGAAAAATAAATATTTGATGTTAGAAAGCTAAGTTTGCATACTACACACGAATACTCGCGCGTTTCTTGCTATCACAAACGAAAGAAAAAGTGATGTTTGCACTATAATGCTAAGTGAAAATGTTGTAACTCAATTTTCGGTTGTTTCAATAAAAAGTGAAATTGATTGTTACCTCTTGCATGAGGTGGTCCTAATTTTATATGTAGCTATTTTTTCGATTCGAGGTCGATTATAACCGGAAAAGTTTAGTATCTTGACCTTAAAATTCGACTTTCTGTCGGATCGTCTGCGCGGGTTACGTTTTCGTGTTTTCGGCGCATCTCTGTGACCTTTATACACATTCATAAATATTTTGTTGTACTCATATGGCACACTTAACAGTTTTACGCCCGTATTCACAAGCGATGATTGCTTAAGTGAAGCAGCAAATCGAACGCACAGCGTTGAATAGAGCTGTGATTGGTTCATGTGTCACCCTGTGCGTCCACGCGCACTGTGAGACCTCATAGTAATGTTTGTGAATACGGGAGTAAACGACTAAAAAAAATTGTATGAAGCATGAACTCTGATAGTACGGATTGCATTCGCACGTCAATGCAATAAAGTGCAACCCATCAAAAGTAAATAAACTTCACGAAAATCTTGGTTCTATTTTGCATATTAACTAAATTTTACTATCATTTGCGATTCGTTCACCAATACCCGTATAATTAACACTATCGCAAGTTAAAATTTGATTAAAATGCTTTCGATTTCCTAAAATAACTACGAGTAGGATATGTTTGAAAATAGACTCCTGATAAAAAGGTTTAACGAATTGCTTTTATGTTTGTAAATACTATAACAGTATTATTATGTTATTAATGCTGTCTTTCCAGAACACTGTAATCCGGGCCTTTTCAAGGCGAGAGTGAATAGGCACTTAGGTACAGGACAGATATGTACCATCCTAGAATGCATCTCACTTACCACCAGGTGCGATTGCAGTCATAAAAAAAGATTTTTTTGGATGGTTATGAGGTCATACTCTTTGGCTTTATAACTAAGACTGAACTTATAAAACGTATTATTCTGGTACGAAATTGAAATCTGAGAGCTCTCGACTACACAAAAAACCTCTAAAGAAGCCTCCAGGAATGAACAAGAGGACCTAAATTATCATCATAAGGTCATTTACTCTCCACTGCAGGACCACGACCCTCTAATTTACCAGAGGCAAATGGAGGATTTGGTCTGCACTCCCCACGCTGGCCAGACGGGTTGGGGATGCCCTAAATTATACTAAGGTGAATTTTGCAACAAAAATTCAAACGGGACTTAAACAATACTGCAACTCCTGTATGGCCAGGATCTACAGCTTGGCCTCCAAAACCCAACCAGTGAAGATTGAGTAGTCCCAGGGGATGGCTAACTGTCTTGGAACCCGCAACGAATTTATTCAGAAGAATATAAGAGATCGAAATATAATCTCGGCTTCCCTCCGTTAAATACTATACGATACGAATTAAAAATGCTAAGCTCCTACACCCAAAGGAGTAACCTTTTCGGGGGATTTTTTTTCCCAACGAGTCACACTGGTTACTGATCATAAACATTAAGTATTTAATATCAATATAAAAGAGCTTTCATTATAAAGAAACAATGAACAAAATACATAAAAGATCAAAATAATGAAGTAATCTAAAGCTTACAGTAAGAAAATACATAGGTACACTCGGCACTCGGCATGGGGCACACTGAAAACCAGCGTCGTGGCCTTCCCCACCGTGGGCCACGGCATACGCTGAGTGGTGTCCCATTGCGATGGGCAACGCTGTTGCAACAGGGTGGCACTGCTCAGTTCACTTTTTATTTCCTTGTAATATTTATGTGCTATTTCTGTCTTTTTTCTGTATACTTTCTTTGTTATTAACTAAGTGATGTTCATCGTAATAAATGTTTCTTTCTTTCTAAAATAGAGGTTAATGAGTAGGGGTGTGATTGGATGATAATTTTTTCCCCTACGAGTAACAGGGTTACTCGTTTTGGTGTGACTCGTTGGGAACAAGCGAAAAAAAAATATGCCAAAGTATGTAACTAGTAAAAACATTATGCGAATGGAAGGAATCCGAAATATGACATCTAATCAACAAATCGACCAGACGTACTCATCAACGAGTACTGTCTGCCGTTTATAAGTTACTGTGTCACGTCATTTAACGTTACACAACTGTTATTATAAAACTATTAAATCAGAGTTCAAGTGTACGTTTGCCGGCGAGTGAAAGGAGGTGCGTGCTTGGTATTACAAAGGACATGGTACGGAATGACGTGAAAAATACGTGTAAAATGTGTTTTCAAAATCGACACAGACATGGCTTTGTTTTGACTGTAGCCAAAACTGTTGAGTCTTTCAGCAACTTGGCCCACTTTTAGCTCCGCGAGCCAAGTCGGCAACTGGGCCCACCTTCAATGTTTTTATAAATTAAACACCAAATCAACAAAAAACTACTCTAGAATCTTGAGCCCAGTTGCCGGAAGAAAAATATTTTAAAATTCGATCCGGAGACTTGGCCCGTGGACCAAGTGTGCAAAAAGTGGGCCAAATTGCTGGAAGACTCAACTGTATACTAAATTTCAGTCTCTCAAACGTTTTAAACTAATTTATTGCTTGGGATTCTCAAATACCAAAATTGAGTTTGGGTTACCTTGATTTAAATCAACTGCCTCAATGAAGAATGTTCACTAATTTTGTTTTTTAGCTTTCTGTATTCTCTGTTAAAAATAAAAAATACACGTGAAAGAATTATTTCGATACGTCAATTAGTTTCCAAGATATTGAATTTTAAAAGTGCGGGCGGCGGCCGGCCCGCCATTTTATGCGCGTGACGTCATATTACAACGACTGGCTCATATTTGTATGGGTGGAATCTTGCAAACTGAATTAAGACCCACTTCCAGGCAACCGATTAAGCTAAAATTTCGCAAACACATGTGATTTGGATGACCATGCAATATTATGATGACATGGAGCTGATCTGATGATGGAGCTGGAAGGTGGCCATAGGAACTCTATAATAAAACGACTTAAATGCATCGAGTTTGGGCTCGTTCGTTTTGTATTGATGAGTATTTTAATTCTATATAGTAATCGGGGTCTAATGATGGAGCTGGAAGGTAATTCGCAATAAAACGACACAATCGCATCAAGTTTGGGTTTGGTTCAATTTTAATTTCTGTGATGGGTCTGGGTGTTAATATGTATAATAAGTTTGTATTTACAAAAAAAAAATATTTAAGTATGTTTATATCCGTTTTCTAGTGAGCGGACGCTGTGAATGTACGTCACACGGGGTCACGTGACCGTCGGCGGGACTCAATATTTAAGCGAACTTTGAATGCCTATAAAATCATAACTACTGGGTATTTTTGAATGAAATAAAAACTAATGTATTTGTAAATGTAAAAGCTTAACTGTAACATAGGTTTCAAGTGATTTTGCATACCTAGTAACATTCTCAATTGGGATTCAATCTACGTCCATTTTCTTACTGGGCTTTTTTTTTTGTTAAAATTGTCAAGTTAATTATTATCACGGCCGTGCCACATTATTTTGACTACGCGCTGTTTTTTATCTGTAGTCAAGTGATTATTGACAGCAAAATGCGTTTTTTTACTTTTAGTAAGTACAAGTTTTAATTATTAGTTTACACATTTTGTTACTATTTAAATACCATTGGTAACAAAGACAACAATTGGTTATTTTGATAACGGATAAAAAACTGCACCTAAGGTAGAGTTAGAGCTAAGTAAGCTAGAGTTTAAATAAGTTAGGTCGGGCGTGTAGAGCTAGTGTCTTGGATTCTGATAACTTTTAGGCTGATAAAACGCTGGTTATTCTAGTAACATTAAGGCTGAGTTGCACCACCTTATTTTAACCATAACAATAACAATAACCGGTGCTTTTTCGGTCAAAGTTAAAGTAAGATGGTGCAAATCAGCCTAAGATTCACCTATTTACGTTCTAACGGTTTTCTTTAGCAAGCTTGTCTGGTAGTTTTCCAATAACAAGTCGAAGATTTCCCAGAATTGTGCACAACTGTTCCAGAACTTTACGATCACATCAATTTGTCTTCTTAAACGCTTATAACTGTGAGAACAGATAGAACAACTTCATTAATTATCTTCATATATTGCTTATTGTGGCAATAGGTATGCGTCTTCTAAATAACGTAGTCTCCTTTAATTGTAAAACTCGTAATGATTTATTTAATTACAAAATTATTCTACTATCATCATCATCATGTCAGCCATAGGACGTCCACTGCTGAACATAGGCCTCCCCCAATGCTTCCATGTTTCCCGGTTGGTAGCGGCCTGCGTCCAGCGCTTTCCTGCTACCTTTATGATTCTTCTATCGTATTGTTTTATATTTTAAAATACAAGAAGGCCTGATTATTAAACGAGAAAAAGAAAAAGAAAATTAAAAACCAAGGAAAAATATGTGAAAATTAAATCTTTTCGAGCCAGATGTGTACATAGACAACATCTCATTTAACATCAAGTGCGATTGCGGTCAAATATCTGCCTTATTCTGCATAAAAAAAAACAAAAGAATAAGGCTAGTGGTTCTACTAATATTCAAAATTTCAAATTAAACATTCTAACAACTTCACGCAGTATATTCACGTACTGACATAGAGTTCTTGTCGCTTAAAAAGTAAAAGAAAATAACAAGATAGTTTTTTTTTACTTTTTTTTTTATCTTGTGGGCGAAGTTGCCAGTATTTAAGTATCTATTAAAAAAAATCCATCATAATGTAAACATTTAGACAAAAACTAATTAGGACTAAACACCCACTTTCAAGTATTTAGAAAACATCACATTAGGAAACAAGGTCGACGACATTTCTTAGT